TAAAGTGGGCTGTAGAGCTCAGCGAGTACGACATTCACTATAAGCCAAGAACTGCCATGAAAGGGCAGGTTGTGGCAGACTTCATAGCGGAATTAGCACCAACAAAGCCTCAAGTATATAGTATCGACCCACAAGTGGTTGAGGAAGAACAACTCTGGACACTCTACGTAGATGGGTCCTCAAATTTTCGGGGATGCGGGGCAGGACTCCTACTAATCTCTCCAGATAAAGAAAGATTCGAATATGCGCTGCGATTCAACTTTCATGCATCCAACAACGAAGCCGAGTACGAAGCTCTACTAGCAGGACTAAAAGTGGCCAGGTACGTTGGGGTCAGGAACATACTAATACTTAGTGATTCACAGCTGATTGTGGGTCAGGTGAAAGAGGAGTTCCAGGCTAGAGAACCGCAAATGGAGAAATACCTTTCACAGGTAAGAAACCAGCTCGACCAGTTCTCAAAATATGAGATTCGACAAATTCCACGTGCTCAAAACGTCAACGCCGATGCATTAGCTCGACTAGCTGCGGCTTATGAAACCGACTTAGGCAGAACTGTACCAGTCGAGATTCTACCCGAGCCAAGCATAGAAGCTCAGGAAGCCATGGATATCGACAATCAAGGGCAACCAGAAGAAAACTGGAAGAGCCCTTTGATCAAATATTTGAAAGATGGGATCCTGCCTACTGAAAAGATAGAGGCCCAGCAGCTACAACGACGAGCGGCCAGATATGTGCTTAGAGACGACAATCTGTACAACAGAGGCTACTCGTTGCCGCTTTTAAAATGTCTAACGCCAGATGAAGCCGACTACGTCATGAGAGAGATACATGAGGGTGTTTGTGGGAGCCATTCTGGAGCACGATCCCTAAGTCACAAAATAATTCGACAAGGGTACTACTGGCCGACCATGCTGAATGACACGAAGCAATTCACCAAAAAATGCGACAAATGCCAACGGTTTGCAACCGTACCTAGACAACCGCCAGAGCCTCTGACAAGCATAATGAGTCCTTGGCCCTTTGCTCAGTGGGGAATAGACCTTATAGGGCCTCTCCCACTAGGAAAGGGCCAGACCAAATTTGCAGTAGTGGCAGTCGACTATTTTACTAAGTGGGCCGAAGCCAAAGCCCTAGCGACAATTACAGAGAAAAAGGTCACCGACTTCATCTGGAAGAACATAATTTGCCGCTTCGGAATACCCTACGCCATTATCAGTGATAATGRGAAGCAGTTCGACAATGCTGMCTTTCGAGAATTTTGCAGGGAGTTGGGCATTAAGCACATTTGTTCCTCGCCAGCACATCCGCAGGCTAATGGGCAGGTTGAAGCAGTCAACAAAATTATCAAAAGAACTCTGAAGACCAGATTAGAAAAGCTCAAAKGGTTGTGGGCAGAGGAACTTCCCAACGCATTATGGGCATACAGAACGACACCTTGTACTTCGACAGGAGAAACGYCATTTTCATTATCATTTGGCTCTGAGGCRGTAGTGCCAGTYGAGATCGGACTCCCCTCCCCAAGGGTAGAGCAGTTCACTCTACTTGACAACAACGAATCCGTAAAGCTCAACCTCGACCTATTAGAAGAACATCGAGAAACAGCACGACTACGAACGGCTGAATACAAAAATCGAATAGCTCGATACTACAACTCGAAGGTCAAGCAACATGACTTTAGAGAAGGTGATCTRGTGTTAAGAAAGGTTATGCCCAATACAAAARATTCAACTAGCGGTGCGCTCGGGCCAACATGGGAGGGCCCATACAAAGTCACTRAAGTGGTGCGAATAGGCACTTATGCTTTAGAAGACCAGCGGGGGAAGGCCTTACTACACCCGTGGCACGCCCAACACCTCAAAAGATACTACCACTAGTTCGACATATTTCTGGACATTTTTATGTTTCTCCATTATTTGGACCAACTAAGCTTATTGTAACCAAATCTTCGACAGGACGATTTTCCTACTAATAAAGTATTCGACGTTCGACGTGATACTTGAGTTCTTATGTTCATTCTGAAATAAATTTCTCAAGCAGGGGGCATCATATAAATATCTACATATCTACGACCTGAACATCTACATATCTACGACCAATCAAGGAACTCAAAATTGGGACGGACCTAGAAGCAGGCCGATAAAYTRAAAGCCAATCAGTGAAACCAGGGAAAAGAATCCCGAGGTGCTGAGAAAGGCATGCGTACGGGCCCAGCAAGGTTAAAACAGAAAACAGGCAAGCCTAACCGATCAACGAAACCCACGGGTAGAAAATCATATGGCAAAAGCCAAAATAGGTTAAAAACCCGAGGGTGTTGATTTAACTGGGGGTWAAAAACCGGCAGAAGCCAAATATGTTAGAAACCTAAGGGTACCGACTAAACTCAGGGTATAAAGGCCATTGGCAAAAGCCAAGTGGGTTAGAAACCCGAGAGTAAACCGGAGGACCGAAATCCACGCATCAACAGGTACTTTTTTATAACTAATTGTTTATTATTAGTAGATGTATCATCATTATTAAATAAGACTGATTTTGGTGTGACTGACAATAAATAAGCTCAATCTAATATAGTTCTACTGTCAAATTTTAGCACATGTACACGAGACATTGGGAGAAGTCTTGAAGTTTGGAAGAGTAGAAATTCATAGCGAATTAGTTGTTACCATCCTTTAAAAAATTCAACTATCCGAGATCACAACAGATCTAGTGGTTTCTCTAATGACTAGTCCGTCGATTTACTAGAGAAAAAAAGCTCATTGACTTACAATGTATTGACATCAAAATCAATTTGATCTTCCCTCCAATCAATCTCGACCGACTTTCACTCATAATCATTGTTGAAGATGAGAGAAATGCCAATAGTTAATCGACCTTGGTCAACCGATTGTTGAAGCTTTTACTCGAGGACCAGCGAATGCTAAGATAAACTGATATTTACCAACGGTGATTTACAATTGATTTACGCCTAACGAGCTCTTAATAATGAAGATCTTTTTCTATTACTTATTTCTACCATATCTATAATAGCAAGTTGGTCACACCTACAATTGAAATAGAAACGAAGTGTTTCCTGGTCTAAAATGTAGAATATCGTCTCAATCATCATTTGTCAAGACTATTCTGAGTAAGTTCCTTGACTTGGACAAGATACCTAGTCCACGTGTGTGCCTACATGGATCACTAATACATCTCAGCAGAGCTGTGAATTTCCAGTCACAGCTGTATAAAATCTCTTTCATCCTTGGAATATTCATTGCTCCAGCTGCAAATAATTGAAGACGGTGTGAAAGACATGACAATAAGCCAAAAATAATTCCAAAATCTCTGATGCTCTATTTCTGGTAATCTTCTTCTTTATTCGCAAAAGAGAAGTTTCCTTTCTCCTTCCCATCCCTTGGTCCAATAGGAATCTTATGACCACTTGAATGGCCAACTGGAGAAGCGCAGCACATGGTTGGTCATACATATACTTTACAATACTTCACATTCATTAATACCCACTGCCACTCCACTCTCCACTAGCTGTTTCCTGTTTGTATTGGAAACTTCAAAGTCAAACTCTTACCTTCTCTCCACGTTACAATGACCTTCTCCTTCCCTTCTTCTTCCTCCAAGCAATCCACGTGGCTGCCGGAAATACTCCTCCTCCTCCTCCTCTCCACCGGAGTAACGTCCAGAGGTAAACATTACCCGCTACTTTCTACTCTCCGTATGTTCACAGTAGTATGATATTGTCTCATCTAACCTCTAACGTTATCTGTTGATCTTCAGAACTTGTGAAGAATTCAGATTTCGAATCTCCACCATCAAACCTGCCGAAGAATTTGAACTCAACATCAGTGGTGCTGAACAAAAACAACACAATCCCAGGATGGACATTTCAGGGAGGGGTTGAATACATAACAGTTGGAAAAAACATCTCATTGCCAGACAAAGGACATGCCATATTATTGGGTGAAGATGGAAAAATAAACCAGACTTTTACAGCCGATGCAGACTACTTGAATTACATACTGACCTTCGCGCTAGCCCCAGGCGGTCAGAATTGTTCAGCTACTGCTCCATTAGAAGTCTCTGCACCAGATTCTGATGCGATCTTTACCTTGAACCACCGCTATTGGAAGGAGCCATGGAAGGTCTATGGCCTCTATCTGGGCAGCTGGGGAGATAGAGAGTCTATAAACCTTGAAATTGGAAGCCTAGCAAATGACTCTACTTCAACTTCAACCTGTTGGCCTGCAATTGACTCACTTCATCTCAAGACAATGGGTATAGTGATGCCAGACAATGGTAAGTAAATTCTAAGATCCTCAAATTGTAAAATCAAAAAGTTTTCAATTAAGACAGATATTTTGTAATCCTTGTGCTACTCTCTACTAATGCAGACAACTTAGTAGTCAATGGAGGATTCGAATTCGGCCCAGATTTTCTCGAAAACACTGCAGGAGGAGTTCTACTTGATTCAGCTCCAACTCCTCTCTTTTCACCACTAATACAGTGGATTGTGCTGGGGACAGTCAGATACATAGATTCAAAACACTTCTTTGTTCCACAAGGCAATGCTGCTGTGGAGATGATATCAGGGGTTTCATCTGGAGTTCAAGCAGCAGCAAAACTCCAGGCAGGTTCTTCATATACCTTGGATTTCACTCTGGGCGACGCCAATGATTCGTGCGCAGCCAAATTTCTTGTTGGTGCTCAAGCTGGATCGACGTCTCGGAATTTCACATTGGAGAGCAATGGGACAGGTTCGGCTGTAAAATTCTCCATGACATTCAATGCAATTCCTGATGTTAATACAATCACTTTCCTTAGCTACACTACTACCCAAACAAAAGATGGAGACTTCTGTGGTCCAGTCATAGATGATGTAATCTTGCGTGTTTCTCATGGGCTCAGAATCTTAATGCCCTGGAAGAGTTTGGTTCCTCTGTGTTTAGTTACAATTCTCTATTTGCTCTGAGCCTGAGGAAGGATAGTGTCCAGGAATTCTAAATTTGACAAATTAGAAAGCCTATATCATTGTAGTACCTTTCTTCTTTGAGAAGTACTTAGAACAATATCCAGCAAATTTTTTAATAAATCTAAGACGAAAAATACATTTTATAGAACCATAATGATTGTTGCAATACAGTACATTTAGATTGTTATAACTTCATATCCTAGACCGGGTATAATGTTGTACCGAACTGGAAGCAATGTAGATTTATATACCACTTCTGCCTCGATGTACATTCTGAAAATGCTGCTTCATGTAATGATATAACTGAATTCCGCTGTAAATGTGACTCGGATATATGTCTACAACAGAACCTATATTTAGGAAGTTTGGAACACAACCATCAAAGGTGGAGAGCTTTTCATACATCGTCATTTTATCAGCATTTTTCTGACCTGTAAAGCAAGCAAAATAATGAAACACTGGACAATAGAAATGATCATAGTCCTGTATAACTATGAGGACTTGGAAGTATTGATTCCATAGAGAAAATATGTGACACCACCGAAAGTATCAAGCCAACCAATAAAATGGATATAACATAACAATAGTTTTTACTTTTTAGCATGCAGATGGCATTCTAGTACAAAATATCCTCTCATGTCCATAACAAATGATAACATCCTAAATTTCAAAGTAGTAACAACGGTTCATTCTGTTCTCTGCTGGTTTTCACATCTTTTAGCCTTGGACACGACAATGAAAAGGGAGAATCGGGCACCTAATGTAGAATCTGCAAAGTTAACATGCATCCACAATAGAACTTACAGAATAATCCATCGTTCTATTAACAAAGCACCTGTTGTAACAGGTGACCTATTTAATGATATTTTCTTTTCATGTTAATGTGATCATATTGATGTTAAGGTTAGCAAGGTCTTTCTTTAGTGTATTTCATCATATCAATGAAATATGTTGTTTCCTATTGAAAAAAAAGGGTTATCAAGGACCCAAGGTCATGCTAATGTGGATTAGATAAAAATATATATGATGAGTATAAGTCATGGTAATGTGATCCTATTGATGTTTAAGGTTATCGAGTCACAGGACAAAAGGATATAAAAAAACTCAGAATACTAACCGTATAAAGGTTAACTGTTAATAATTCTGATTCTGTACACAAGGCAACTAAGCTGTATCAACAAAATTGATCTTTGTTCCGCGTTTCAAGATATTTTTATATTCTTGACTTTTTGACCAGTCATCGATCTCACGAGCTCGTAAAACAGGCAGAGGATGCGAGAGTTGTCTTGTTTGCGCATTTCTGTAAAATAGAATCAGTTAGACGAGCACATCGACTGAGACAACTTAATATTTTATGCGTTTCACTAGCTAGTTACCTTATATACCATCCTATAGGGCTTGAAGAAGCTTTGTCATAAGAGCGAGCTTGCTCCAAAAAAGCATCCACATTCAGTTGATCAGCTATGGATGGACAGCCCCCAGCTAATTTCATCAGAACGGAGATGACCACCTCTTGTTGGAGCAAATGAGTAATCAAATAGATGAGAAAAGAAGTTCAAAAAAATTTCATCGACAGATAGAGGAGGGAGAGAGAGAGAGAGAGAGAGAGAAGAACTGGGAGGCTTCAAGTTAAATATATTTTGTACTTTAGAATCTTGAGCAACAAGAAGGGCAGCACGATCACAAGTTAGCTCTGCTGCTCGAAGCCAACGGAATAGCTGTTCTTCTAAGTTCTGTGCTAAGAAACCACCAAGCCCTACAAAACATAATCATTGAAATTTAAGTAACACAAAAACTTCTAGCCTGAGCCTACTTATTCCCTGAATTTTTCTTTCGTTAAATTATCACATCATAATCTTTGTGGTAACCATGGAGCAAAATGATCCTTTCATGCCATCAATTCTTACTTGCACACGAACAATGCCCTTAATAACTTTGCCTTTTAAAACTAGAATGCTTCATTAATTCTTAATATTAACTGCTCCTTCATTCTCCAAAAGAAATGAGCAACAAATTAGCCACAATAATTACATTATGCTAATCAGACCGTCATTTAAATACTTACCAGGTACAGAGTAAGCCCCCAGGGTAAGAATATTTGCAAATGTAAGCCACACACCATGATCACATTTTAGATGACCCAATTCATGAGCCAAAACAGCCTGAATATTTCAAGTGATAGAACATTACGTCTTGTGAAAGATAGCATCATGCACAAATGAAATAATAAATAAAAATATACTTGAGTTCCAAGTTATGGCATGGCCATGTACTTGATCAATGATATATGTGCTAAGCATTCTATATGTTTTTTGCATAAAAAACTGAAGCTACAAATTGATTCAGCAACCCAAGACTGCATCAATTTGCATAACCCTGGTAGGATGGGTGCCTATTAATGTAATTACAGCAGAAAACAATTGCAGACCTGCAGTTCTTTTCCTGTAAGAAGCTCCACTAGGCCAGTATGGACAACAACAAACGGCTTTTTACCACTTATGGCTAAAGTATAAGCATTTGGTACAGGACTTTGTCGGACATATAGATCTGGAGCGTCAACATTCAGTACTTTGGCAGCCTCAATCATCAATTGATGAAGATTTGAAAGCTGAAAATGGAAGAAGCATTTGCTAAACATTAACTATAAAATTTTAATGCTTAATCACGTCATGTTCACAAGGAACGACAAATGCTCATCATCGAATGTCCATATTAACTCCAAGGATTTTCTGGGAGAAGCAATTTTTTTTTGCATATTTGAATAGAAATCCTAGACACCCAGATCCATAAATTTAAATGCACTCACATAATTTATCCAAGTGAGAAAGTAGAGTTAGAAGAGCTATTAGACGTATTTAAGATCAGTAAGTGGAAAGATGCATAAACTTCACGTGTAATTTATTTAGCAGATACTACTTTAACTAGTCTCTCGTCTTGGTGCATTTCTTATTAAAAGAAACTTAGGGGTAAATAAGGGGAAAATAATCCATTTCTAATTAAGCAAATCTTAACAAGGAAAAAAAAACAGAGAGTCATAATGGATTTCTTTGGTTGAAAAACCTGATTTTCAGAAACAAGAATTGATGTTCCTATGTTCTCAAGAAGCATGACTTGCTCAGTCACGGTTCCTGCAATGACAAAACAACAGTGCCATTAAACAGAAAGTTATAAGCAGTATGTAGCCGAAGGGTGGCAAAACCAGATATGCAAGTAATTATTTGAAATATGTAATGTCTAAAAGAAATAGAAAAGGAATGAATAATTTATGTTAACGAGACCTCATACATAGAACATGTTTATGTAGAAGGTTAGGATCCACTGTCTTTAATGATTTGAGCATCCAGATGAGAACAACAATAATCTAGTTGCAGATCATGTTTGCTAAAGCTCTTTAGTAAGTTCATTAACTGGAAAACATTCACAAGATTAACTCCAACTTGCAACAACTCAGTCATGCCCCAGCCATAAAATTCGTATTCTCAAGCTGGAAATTCAGCAAGCATGACTGGTTTTTTCTATAGGCATGTGCAAATCGATTGGACACTTCAGAATCAATCTGGAAATTCATCAGCTCTCTTACCCAATAAAACCTTCCCGAGCTCGCTCAACCCTGGAATCGCCCGCAAAATCATTGTGTTCTGCATGAAAGAACAATTCTTGACTTAAGACGAGGTATCTGACCCAGAATGATATTTTTGAAAAATAAAAACTATTACAGTTAGTTGCTTTCACCTTAGACTTTCTTAAGATGATTTAGTTCGACCTCTACAAAAAAATAGAGAGACATGAATATGGTATATTGTTGAATCATTATCCAAAAAGACACTTGACTCCCCTACGGTTACGAGGAATCTTTCCTAACTAAAAGAATGAATTGAAAAGAACTCAATCTAGCTCTACAGCTTAAATTTTTTGGTTCAATGGTGATTTAAATGGTACCACACCATAGGATCCAAGTTCAAATTCCTACCATGTCATTTTCTCCTCATTTTAAACTACTAGCCCACTCGGCAAGCCTCATACATCAAAAGTAATATTCAAGTTCATATGTAAGGTGAGGGTGAGAAAATGAATTGCAACGATTATATTCATCTTAGTTTACATTAGGATAATTTAATGCTCGGACGTGGTATATTCCTCAGAATTCTGTATACGGCCACGCTTTAAACATAACCATCACAATAAATGAAGACAGATCATAAAATTTTGTTTACAATACTGGTCGTCAGATGAAAATAAAACGTGTCAACTGGTTAGTAAAAGTTCCTTCTCTTAGAAGAGCTAAAATTTGTTGGTTGAGTTCTATCTCCTCATATCCTTCCATTGTAACTCTCCCTCTCCCCGCCAATTTCTCCCATTTCTTCTCTTCATTTCTCTATTTCATTTTTCCTCTTCATATATAAAAATACAAAAAACCAAACCTAGGCCTTATATTCCATAAACAGTTTTTACTTGGGAGATTACGGGAAGCATGAGAAATATAATGTCCTGGCTGTATCTAAAAACAGTAAGTCGATATCAGATTCTTCATTAGACAATTATCGTTGAATATACTTCAACAATCAATAACGGAGAATCAGTATTTTATCAATCTCAGAAACCATGAAGTCGTGAAATACAATAACAAGAAAGCTAAACACCGAACAAAATTCCTGAACTGAAGAAACTGAACCTGCTTGTCGAGAGGATGGCGGAAATCATCGGCATCGAGGTCGCGGAAGGCCAGGGACGCAGCTCTGCAAACAGGATACCGATTTCTCTTACTCACCGGCGATCCGAAGGCAGTAAAATCAAATCTGTGCGGCGCTCCAAATCCGATTCCGCAGGGGGAAGGATTTCTAGTGAGGCAGAGAGAAGAAAAGGGAAGGGAAGCCATGGAATCAGAGAGAGAGAAGCGTAAACCAGAAATCGGAGATCTGAAATTTGTAGTTGGAGAGGATTGATTAAGGGAGAAGGGCCTGATATTTTTTGGCTTCACGGCCACTGCCCGTACTTATGGCGAACGTTTGGCGCCATTTCGTTTTCCGTTGACCGTTGATGGCGGCCACCAACGTCCGTTAAACTCGATACATTTGTTATTTGATTAAAATACTATTTTCTTTCTTGCACTTCATTTTAGTTCTTAGATTGTCCTTCTATCTTTGAAAAATAATCATTTTAATTTTTCGATTTTCTTTTTAATCTTATTTTTTCTATCTATTATAATTTTAGCACGACATTATATTCAATATATTTTTTTTAGAGTAATTACACTGATATATTTATTAAAATATAACAATAACAATGATTTTATATCAAATATGCATGGAATTTATGTTAAAAGTTTGAAAATAGAGACCGGTTGGATTGAATTGGGTTGAGGGGTTTTTTTGGACCAATCCGAATTTTCGGATTGGTCAATTTAGGTACCGATGGAATCAAAAATAGGTTCCAACCTAACCCTTATATTTTCAGGTTGGGTCGGGGGAAGAGAGATGATCAGAAGGAGAAATTATGGTAGAGTTTGTGAGACGGAGAGATCTGAGGGTTGCTAGAGCTATGTCACTACGCCGGCACAATGGACAGAAAACGACAATGGAGATTAGGATACAGTGGACTTTTTGGTGAATGATTCGCAGAAGAGGAGAAAACGATGGAGAAGAATGAAGAAGAAAAGTTTCAGTTGTTGCTCGCCTTCACGATGTTCTTCCACCGAAATACGAAACTCGAAGCGATGGGTTTCTCTGAAGGACTTTCTGAACGAAATCACGAATGGAGGAGAAGATGAGGGTGTAAGAGAGATGAGGGAGGGAGGGAGAAAATTTTTTTAATTTAATATAAGGTTCGGTTCGGGTTGAACCGATCAAATAATTTTTCAACCCGCGAACCGAACCGAAAAATCGGGTTGAGAAAAAAACCAATCCAATCAAAACGAAAATTTTGTAACCCAACCCAAACCCGGTTTGGATTGGATTGTTCGGGTTGTCGGTTTTTTTTAACACTCCTAATCAAAATGGTTATTTTTTAAAAGTACAATGACTACATCGAATACTTTACATAAAGATTAAAATAAGTCAAAGTTGGAAGTATAGAAACAAAAACAACCCAAAACTAAAAATGCATCAATCAAAATAGTGTTTTAATCTTGATATTTTTCAATTTAATCGCTATTATTTAAAAAGTTTTAATTTTGATCCTTATATTCTAATACTTCTTTCAATTATATCCTTTATCCAGAGTAGAATTAAGCCAAGCCCTTATTTTGAAGTCTAAGGTTCAAATATTCAAATACTTGCTGTACTAAAAAAAATTCTCTCTAAATTTCTCCAACTTGAGATGTGAGTATCTCATCAATAAATTTTAACCTTAAAAAAGAGAGAACCAAATTCAAAACTTTTAAACGATAAGAACAAAATCGATAAAACACCAAAAAACCATTAGAAGTCAGAACACGTTTAATCAAATACAAATGAGATTAAATTACAAATTCGATCCTTAATTAAGATTTATGTTTACTAATTCCATAATCTATAAAAGCTGTCTAATAAATCACGTATTGTATTTTAGTTCCTACAAATCACTAAAATTTGGACATTTATTTCAGAAGTTAAAAGACCAAAATGAAACAAACAATCAAAAGCTCATACAAAATTAGAATTTAATCCTAAAGAATATGATATGAATCTACATCTTCTTTTACAGTGAAAGGAAATAGATAACCAAATGATCATTTGCTTGACATCACAACTTTTATCCAAAATTCCAAAATCTACTCAACTCACTTTACCTTTATCAAAATTAAGCAAAAAAAGAAAGACCACACAATGCCTCGTGTTGCTCCAATCCATTTACCTACAACAAGTCTCAATAAGAAAAAGAAACACACAAGCCTTAAATTAAGGCTGCATTTTTTTCCTCATATATATATATATATATATATAGCTCTCTCTCTATCATTCACTATTACATTATCTACTCACTCACTTTGTCTGATACAATACAACAAACAATAGTAATACAAGAAGAAGATACAAGTTTCCTTTTTACCACTTATTTTGGCTTCAGCCTCCACTGATCAGACTCATCCTAAGCTTGCGCTCTTTGGAAAATCTGTGTCTTAGCCTCAGCTGACAGGAACACCATTGAGCCCTCCCTCTTCATTCCCCCATTTTATGTCAGCCCACCATTGTTGCTTATGATGCAGAACCTGCCTGCTCACAGAGGTCTAGAAGATCCAATGTCTGCACCACCACCGAACATAATTTACAGAGTGAGAGGCATGGATACGGACACGAGATAATAGATACAACACGACACAGACACAGTCACACATTATTTTCTAAAAATCTAGGGCACGAACATGGCAAGGACGCATTTATTAAAAACATACAGTTTTTTTTTTTTAAGTATGCATCATTTTTATACATGAAGGAAAGTCAAAGTCAATAAACTTATTTGTTTTTATGCTTAAAATAATGAGTTTGATGTATTTTGCTTTCGAGTTTTATAATTATGTCCTATATTACTATTTATATCTATTTCCTACGCTTAACAAGTATTTGATGCGTGCTTGTCAGATTCGTATTCACTTTGTACAACTATGACACACATCTATTAAGTTAACAAGTGTCAGATACGTGTGTGATGTGTGATAAGTGTTCAAGTGTCGAAGTGTCCAACATGATCACGTTAACTAAACTCTTCTCCTCAAGTAAATATTTGAAAACCATGGGGAGGAGGGGGAGAGGAGTGGGGAAGAAACTTAACAACTGGGGGTAAGAATGGTGAAGGAAGTGATTGGAGAACAAGTTTGCTGCAGTACCTCAGGAATTGATAGTTCGAGGCGGAATTTTGGACCGTCATAGTGGTGCAAGACTGGCCTGAAGGAGTCTTCTTCTAATGCCCTGCAGAGCTTCCTAATGCGGATCTTAACCTATTAATCGCAAAACAAAGAACTTCTATAAGCAAATTATAAACCTCCTACGTACAGCTTGAAGTTTAAACCATGTGAAATAGAATATATTTCAGACGAGACTCTACCTGAGCAGGAAACCTGGATTCGCCCTTACATTTCTTGTCTTCCCAAGCAGTTGGATCAATGTTGGAACCCCCAAAACTTGCTGCCTGCAATATCCAATCGTAAGCCAAAATAAGCAGCAGAATTCAAGTCCAAGTACGACTACCTCTGAAAAGAAACAAACTTTACACAAGACTTCACTTTTCCCTTGAATGAGAATCAATATCCAAAAATACTTAAATTAACAATTTTCCATTACAAAAATGACATATTGGTGACATCTATAACTTCATTGAAATTAAGAGCACGATGTAGAGTTAATGATTAACATCCAACACCTATCATACAACTATTGGTATGTTCCTTATCGGTTATCTCATATTATTATGAACTCCAAATATTGTATACAAAACCTAGACTATGAGAAGATGTTAAACATGATGAAACTAAATGGAAAATTAGGTACCTAAAAAAAATAACATACCTCAAAAATGCCGTGTAACTGATGGGTGGTGTAGTTATAGAGAAACAGAGGCAAGCCTGGTGTTATTGCACGCACTGAATCCCTATACCTCGGGGGCAAACCTACAAATCACAAAAGGAATAAAGCATATGAGATCGCTGCTAACTATTTCCAGTAACCTTGCCACAATGTATTACAAGCTTGAACATAAAGTTCCAGTTGTAACTTTGATGTTAACAGAGTGAAACATACTAGAATTCTTATTGGTAATTTAGCACAATAGTTCAAACAGTTCATCTTGATAAGCATACAGTTAATGATATGCAAATATGAGATACACAGCTAACATAAAAAGTTTGGGAACTATTTATTCCTACATGCTGTATCCGAGAGGCCAGAAGAAAATTAAACAGGTTAAAAGAACAATTACCGAAAAGCTGTCTCTTTAAATCTTCCTGCATAGTATCATTGTTACAGACAAAGATGTATCCACCAAGCACTTCATTTCTGGGGAGTGTCTCTGTCGCTGGCAATGTCTTGAATCTTTTGTCAATCGCATTGATTGAGTTAGCATTTTCACCAACGTTATTGTTGGCACTGCTGTAATTGGTAATATCTTTGTTGACATAGTCATTGCCACTGTACTTGGTACCAGGTAGGTTTCCTGCAAGATTGGTATTGTTTTTGCCATACACGGCACTCATGTTGTAAATTCCACTCCTCATTGAACTTTTGTTAACGGTATCAGTCATTTTTGAATCCAAGTTCAACATGTTGAAGTTGAAGCTCTCAAATTTGTTATCTTCCTGAAAACCAAACTTTTCCCTTGGCCTGGCATCAAGAGAGCCCTTTGAAAAATCAAGATTATTCAGGCGGTCCCCCTTCAATCTTGTCTGCTCAGCCAGTTTAGATGCAGCCCATAACCATTTATGATCCTCAGAGACTTTTGTCTGACCTCGAAGCTCATCTCCCAATTGCCAAAAGCTATATGAACCGTCCATCTTGCAGCACTTGATTGTGATAAAGATGAATGAAGATCCCTGGAGAAATAATAGTGAGGAAAAGAAAAATAAGTTCATTCTTATCATCCGAGAGGTGGGGGGGCCATGACAGATAAAGTTGATTACTTGTAATTAAAGGATAAGCAATCAATCAAGAAAAATTAAAAGTTTTGGTGTTAAAAAAGTCAAACGTGATGGAAGTTCAAGAATTTTTCATTTAAATTGGTTTGTTATTATTATGGCAAATTGGTTTTAAAAAATTACTCTGGTAGATTATGGAAGCGTGTCCACTGAAAATTCCCTTAATACAGAACAAGAAATTTTCATTCAAAAAAGTAAATCGAACCATTTCTCCAAATTAATCTTGAAGCAAAATGAATCCCATGAAACTCCGTAGCTCCAGAAACACATGTGTGCTCCCAGAAGTTCAATTCCAATACCACTTTCGAAAAATGAAAACGATGCCTAACAAAAGGCAGAAATTCCCGTGAATTGATATTAGCTTGAAATGAAACACATTTCAAGGAACACAGATCAAAACTTCTCCACTTCAACCTACCGAAATCAAAAAGTTCATCTCAGAAAAACAAAAAAAGTCAAAACCCCACCTCCAATTCACAATTCAAACTCATCGCACAAGTCCAAAACAATGAAGATGCGGTGGTAAACATGAATTCAGTAGAGTCAAGCGAATCGCGTTACTCATTTCTTCACACATTTCCAGACTCCCTTCAGAACAAAGAACATAGTGGGTGGAAATGCGAAATCTTTACCGTGCACGGGGGCGCATTTCTAAACAAAACCCAACACCCAAATCCAAATCTGAACCACAAGAATCCACCCAGACACACAACAGAGCATCCAACACACAAGACACACAAATCAAAGACGTAACACACAAATAACAAAGTTCACAAAACAAACAAGAAACCGAGACGATTGAACGCGAAATTAGCAAGTGGAGTTAAAGAGTGAATCAAATCACCGAGTAAACAGAGAAGGAAAGAACTTGAAAACTATGCGGAAACGAAAAGAGAGGCGTGAGATTTGTGGATTTGGAGACTTACCTCAGAGTAAGAAGCCCTAGATTTAGGGATCCGAAGATGGAGAGAGAGAAAGAAGGGCTTTTTATGTGCTTGGCTGAGAAGCCGGGCGACAGGGGAAGACAGAGGAGTAAAGAAGGAGGATCTTTTCGGTATTTAAAGCACGATATGACGGAAATGACCTCGTGGAGTTTCCATATTTACGATTTTGCCACTACTTTCAAAATTTTGAATTGTAAGTCGATTGAGGAATGAAGCTTGATTTCCAGCCACATGTCATTTAATATGTTTCAACTAATTTGGGGGTTTGTTCTTATGGGTTTGACATTAAAAACACCGTCTTTTAAATGTATGTTTTAGTAAATTTGTTTGGGACGGGATGATATCATCGTTAGATTAATCGAATCATATTTATTTGGGTCTGCCTCTCTATCTCATGTTTGGAGACAACGTAATTTTGTGATTCATATGAGTGTTTCTCGTCTAACTTTAGTTATTTTACATCTTTTTTAGAGTGATGTTTGTGTTTGTGCTACTATTTGGTAGGATCTGTATTCTTTATATATTAGACTGTTGATAGTGTCTATTTGGGTTTTATTTTAATAAATCAGTTGTTATGTTATGTTTTGCTTTGTTCATGATGTATGTTGTGTTTCTTTCGTTGATTTCCTGGTTTTTAGTTGTGTTGTTGTCTTCTTTGTTGGTATTCTTGTTGCCTTATTAACAAATTTCTTTATTTCTTTCGTGTCTTGATCTCAGGCGGTAAGATCAGTACATATAACTTTATTTTTGCAAGTGAATAGTTTCTTTTTTTTCTTATAAATTGAATTTTGAAGACACTTCAAGTGGAAAATACATGTTAGAGAACATTGAGTCAAGAGAAAAGCGATTTATTTTGAAGACACCTCGAGTAGAAAACAATCAAACACATGCTAGAGAATATCGAATTAAGAGGAATAGTTTTTTTTTTTAAATACTGTCTTGGTCATGTAATTTAAGTTTTTTAGTCCATGTAATTTCAAAATATTCATTTTAGTCTCTGTATTTTATTAAAGAAAAACGAAGGGGTTGTCATCCACTTTGATTCATTTTAGTCCGCATATCTTCAAAATGTTCGTTTTAGTCCTTGTATCTTTGTTTTATTTTTTATATCATTTTTCTATCATTTTTCTATCATAGTTTGAACACAATATGACACTCAATATATTTATTGAAATGTAATCATTATTAGATATTAAAGGATTTTTGTTAGGTATAGAATCTGTGTTAAAATTTTGTAAATATAGACTAAAATTGTCACTTTTTAAAAGTATGATGGCCAAAATAAACATTGTGAAAGTACTGTGACTAAAATGAGCTAAAGTTGAAAGTATACAACTAAAATTAACATTTTGAAAGTTAACGAACCAAAATAGTATTTTAATAATTTTTTAATATAGAATTTTGAAGACACTCTAAGGAGAAAGAGAATACTGAATCAAGAGGAAAACAATTTAAAAACAAAAGGATCGAAAACAAATTGAAACTCATTGAATAGAAATTGGTAAGAGCATCCTCGTCGAGTTAAACAAACTTACTAAGAGCATCCTCAATAAACTTACAAAATAATGTAAATCCAAATATAGAAATGCTCGGTCTGTTGGTATGGCGTAGTGGCAAAGGCCTCAGGTCTTGTGGTATCACCTACTATGATAAACTTTAGAGTCAAGTACTATGTTGGTCACTATGTTACTAAGAAACAAGTCTAGTTACATGGATCTACCGCATAAGCCATGCAACATCCATTTCGAAAAATAAAAATTATTATATTTTGGTTAAAAAATATATTTGGTCATTGAAATTTTGCTAAAATAAGGATGTGTTATCTGTACTTTAGTTTGTAACGATTTAATTCATATACTTTCAAATTTGTAATAATTTAGTCTCTATATTTTAGTATGTAACAACCTAATCTTTATACTTTAAAATTTGTAACAATCTAGTCTTTATCGTAAAAAACCTCATCAAGATTAAGTCTTGATTTTTATCATACGACAATTTAGTCTTTGTATAATTTATAAATATATTTGGTCAATCGTTGATTTATCGTGATCATAAAAAACTTAACAAAAAAAAAATTACAACTAAGGACTTAATTAATACAAGCTTTAAGTTATATGGACTAGATTGTTATGAATTAAAATTCAATAACTAAATTGTTATCAATTTAAAATATAGGGATTACATCGTTAAAAATTCAAATTTTAAGACTAAATTGTTACTTAAATATATATATATATATATATATATATTCTGCCAATGTTTTTTTTTTTTGAAACAGAACAACAAAACAAAATTAAACACAATCAACGACCAACAAAACAGACAGCCACGTAGGGCAAAACTGGTTCCACGAAGACGAGAATCCCTCTTCGCACGCTCTCCTTATTATCCCATGAGTGACTCCATTAGCATTCCTCGACGGATGCTTGAATCCTTCAACTGGCAAGGATTCCACCTCTTTCCATACGTCTTCAACAATCAGAGAAGTTTCGGTGAGCTCCATGGACGATTTATTGATGATGTTCACAACTTCCAAACAATTCGATTCCACCTCAATTTGATTCCAACTTCTACGGTAAGAGATTGATTCAATGCTTTGAGACCTTCCAAAATTGCTAGGGCTTCCAAAGCCTTAATGGACCATTTCCTTTGTAGGTGGAGACACCTTGCCATGATGAAGCGCCCTTCGGAGTCACAAACAACCCAACCGAGGCCGCTGACATTCAACGAATCCATCCAAGTAGCATCAACATTTAGTTCCCACAGGTATTGCGTTGGGAGGTCCAGCCGATGGTCCCAAGAAGATTTTTATCCTCCATGCTCAGGTTTCCTCCAAGATTTATTGTGAACCCATAAATTTTACTTTCGGTAAATGCCCTAATCTTCTAAGAGTAAGGTTGCTCAATTGTGCCGTGAAGAATTTGATTTCTGTATTGTCTTTTGTATTGGTCCGAGTCTCGCCAAATCAAGTCCACACAGTCCATTCTGCCAATGTTGTATGGCAATGCTTTGTATTGCTGTGTTTGCAATTGCACCATAATGAATAGATTTATCCGTCAGGGTGTAAATTCCAAAGTATTGTGGGGGCAACAATGTAAAATCAATTTATTTTAGTGGGAAAAAAAAGAATAGGGAAAATATTTGCAAATTCGCTATGGGTACGCTATAAGGTCCATATCCATTGTTCCGCGAGATCCAGGTTGACATATTATAACGACAGGTGTGCATTTATGTATTTAATATTTATTAATGTAATTTAAATTTTACACACGCTATTAAATATGTGGACATTTCAATGGATATCTCCGTGACATTTTCATATATTCATGAATTCTGATAACGAAGGATAAATTGACATTTTGATCGTATTATAAAAAAATCAATAAAATATAAAAATTCTCAACAAAATGGTACTAATATATACATAATACTACCAAAGTAAATATAGATCAACGATAATTGACATAAATTTCCAATCAATAAGTTGTGAGTTCGATTCCCTATCTCACATGTTGTATTAAAAAGAAAAAATATATATATATGTGCCTTGTTTTTTATTTCTAAGAAATGATTAATCGAGACTTTTTGTTTCATTTCCAGTTATTTCTAAAGCATAAATAAAATTTTTATCTCATTATTATTGACTTACAAAATACATAATAAATGTTAAAAGGAATAAATATAACATAAAAATTTTGAATAAAAAATTAAAATTTTAGAGAATTAAAAACTTTAAACTTCAAAGAAAATAATAGATGTCATTACCGCTAAGTTATGCTTAGTTTGACATATTTTACTAGGTTTCTAAACTTAAAAAAATGTATAATAGATCATCGAACTTTCAATTTTATGTCTAATAGGTCCATTAATTCAACTTTTAATTGTGTGTCTAGGAGGATGTATTAGATATAAAATTGAAGAATCATGGGGATGTTGGATAGAGGTCCACAAAATTTAAGCATTATTTAATATGTGAAGAATCTATTAAACTCAAAATTGAAAATTTATAGACCGATTAGACATTTTTAAAAATTCATGAACTTATTAAATAAATTTGACTATTTTAGAAAATTGCTTAAAAGTTCATTTTGATTCCTATATTTTAAATTTTAGTCTATTGCAGTCATGTAATTTTTAAAAGTGACAGTTTTAATAAAAATTTTAACACATATTCTACCAATAAAAACAAAAGTCATTGTTATGTTTTAAGAAATATATCGAGAATAACATCTTTTTGAAATTGTGATAGAAAAAATGAGATTAAAAATAAAATTAAGGGACCAAAATCGTCACTTTAATAATAGTGGGAAGGATATTTTGAAAATATAGATACAAAAGTATAAATATCAAAATGAACTAAAGTTGGGAGTGAACAAAAATAGCATCTTAACGTTTATATATTTAGCATATAATTAAGATTATGTGTATATATATATATATATATTTATACAAATCTAAACTTATTAAGAATTTTAATTTGAAAGTTTGGTAAATTTACACAAATGTAATCGTAATTGCCGATGTCATCGTGTGTACACTCACTCTCAATTTTTGTTGTATTTTATTTTTAATTGACGTGACATCTAAAACAATATTGAAATAGTAATTAATATCTTTTGCCATTTGGGACCACGATATTTTATAATATGATCAGAAAATATCAACCTTACGATTTTAATAAATTTGAATGGATTCAACATATTTTTTTTTACGCCTCGTAATTCTTCTTCAGGTAGGCTTGGACATAATAGCAGAGAGAACTATTATGGGTGTCAAAACGGACGTAGTTCAATGGTAATTGACATATATCTTAAATTAAGAGGTCGTGAGTTCGATCTTCCACCCCAACATGTTGTACTAAAAAAACTATTACGAATTAGTTCATTGGTCTAAAGAGACTAAGATATATCAAATGATTTAATAGGATAAGTTCAAATCCCCATAAATTAATTTCTTAGACGGTTGTTTTGTGAGATTAGTCGAAACTCACAAACAAAGCATGAGGATAATTATATATTATTTTATTTTACCAAAAGCATACTCTTAAAGAAAAGATACTTCATTTTGAAAAATAATTAACCATAAATATTGATCTTAAATATTGCTCAACACATATATCATCGATCAAAAAGTCGAATATTCGAAACCATCCCAACTA